TTAAGGAGGAGTATTATGCCTGAGGGGGGAATGAGGTGAGGAACTGGTAGACAATGCTTAACTGAGTCGTAGGTCTTTAACCACCCTGATCAAAAGGGTGGGGGCAGGAAAAGTTCCAACTGGTTATAACCAAGATGGCAGAGAAATTGACTTCTTCTTGACCTTGCAGCTTCATCATACCCTCATTACCATAAAAGTTTCTAAAGAACCCTCCCACTCCCCTCACGCACCTGACACCATGACACTTCCAGTTGGTCAAAAGGAAGGTGTCACCCTAATTCTAGGAAAATACGCCCCTTTCCAAGCAATAACATGAATATTCCTCCTCTTGTTTAGCCTATGATTAAATGATTGCTTAAATTAGAGAAGCCAAAGGAATCATGGGGGCTGGTTCTCCTCCACAGGGAGAACAGCCTCTACTCCATCTGTGAAGTAGACTTTCTATACTTTCTGAATAAAATTCACTTTCACTTTATACTGTCAACTTGCTCCTGAGTTCTTTCTTGTGTGAAGCCAAGGACCCACTTGGACCTCCAGTGATTTTCAGCATTAGGAGTTACTTTCCTGTGGCAGGAGGAATAAAGTATATAAATATATTATGTTTGGAAATGCAATGCAAGTCTTATATCTGGGAGAATAACAAGAACTTGTAGCCATGGTGACCTCCAGGACAGGAAACTGGGGAGTGGGAATCAGGGGTTGGAAGGGGATGGATATGGTTTTTATTCTATGCAATTCTGTACTTCTGAATTTTTTACCATGTGCATGGTTTGTTATTCACCCAAAAAGAAAATTGAAAGCAGGGAGGCAGGAATGGAGGCAGGCTAGGGAGCCAGGAAGGGAGGAAGGAAGAAATTTGTCAATAGTAGGAAAATTCTCAAAAACAAAGCAGTAAGTCCCTAATGGCAATAACATATAAATAAATTTTGTTCCCTCTGGAAATCTTAAGTTTTCCTCAGCAAGGAATAACAAGTGAGTGTTATTTTTCAAATTCCAGCTCAGCCCCTGAGACTGCAGGTTCTCAAAGGAATATTAATCCTTTAGGCCCCAGCTATAAACTCCCTGATTAGAAGGAACCACGGAGAGAGATCGGGTGGGCAATCACCTTGCACCAGTTATAGAAAGAATCTGGAGGAAATTCCTACATAAGTAAAAAAGAAATACAATAGAAAATTCTATTTTCAAAATCAGGTGTGTATCATTAGAGTGCAGGAAGCAGCAAAGCAGAGGGTGAGAGCCAAAGTCCTAGTATGTCTTATACCAGGACCAAGAGGAATCATGTCATCCCTGGTGAAATAATGGAAATGGATTGAGGTATTTGAATTAGACTGCATGTTACCTGGGAAGGGATATGAATAAAAACTTAATTGAATTAATCAATCACTTAATCAATCAATTAATATTATATGCCTTTAATGTATTGTTCATATGTGTTATTATGGCCATTTGATGAGCACCCATTTAATGCCTGACCCTGTGCTGGAAAGTTTAAGTAAATTTTCTCTCTTGAACTTCACATCACTTCAAAGCAGGTTCTACTACTTCCTTCTCTTCATTTTTTTTCCTTTTTATTTTGAAATACATATAGATTCACAGAAAGTTGCAAAGATTGTACAGAGAAGTTCTCTGAACCCTTCATCCATTTTTTCCACAATGGTTACATTACATAATTACATTATGACATCAAAACCAGGATTTTGATATTAGTACTGTGTGTGTACCTGTCATTTTATCACTTGTGTAGATTCATGTAACCACCTTTATGACCAAGAAATAGAACCATCACAGATCTCAGATTCCATACAGATCTCTCTCACACTAACCCTGACAGTCACACCACCCCTACCCGTACCACCTCTAACCCCTGCAATCATTAGTCTGTCCATCTCTCCAATTTTGCCATTTTGATAATCTTATACAAGTGAAATCATTCAATGTGCAACTTTCAGAAATTGGGGTTTTTTTTGACTTAGCATAATGCCATTGAGATCCATCTAAGTTGTTGTATGTATCAATAGTTTATTCCTCTTTATTGCAGAGTAATGTTGCACATTAAAGTTGTACCAGTTTGTCTAACCAATCGCCTATTGTAGAACATTTTGGCTATTTACAGTTTGGGGCTATTACAAATAAAGCTGCTATGAAAACTGTTTACCCATTTTTGTGGACTCAGGTTTTGTGAAAATATAGTTGCCCAGGAGTATAAGGACTAAACTATATGGTAAGCATATGTTTAGTTTTTTTAGAAACTACTGAACTATTTCTCACAGCATCTGTACAATGTTACATTCCTACCAGCACTGTATGAGATATCCAGCACTCTGTCTCTTTGCTTTCATTTGGTATGTCATTATTTTACTTTAGCCATTATGACACATGTGTGGTGATATATCTCATCAAGTGTAGTGTACTGATATTTTGTAATGTCCTTAATTTGTATTTCTCTAACGTCTGTTAGATATTTTTTCATCTGCTTATTTATCATTCATATAGCCCTCATTCATGAACTACTTATATCGTTCACCCATTTTCTAATTCAATTTTTTTAGATATTGTATTTAAGACCTCTTTACCTACTCTAAGAGTCCTTTGTCAAATATGTGGTTTGAAAATACTTTCTTTCTGTGTACCACATTTTTCCCCTCTTAATTGGGTCTTTAACAAGCAAATGTTTAATTTGCTTTAATAAGTGAATGTTTTAATTTTGATGAGGCTCTATTTATTTATTTCCCTTTATTAACTGTGTTTTTGATGTCGTGTATAAAAACTCCTCAGTAAGCTCTAGGACCTGAAAATTTTGTCCTATCTTACCTTCTGAAAGTTTTATAGCTTTATATTTTACATTTAAATCTATCATCCATTGTGAGTTAATTTTTATGTAAATTGTGAAGTTTAGATTGAGTTTGGGTTTTTTGCCTATGGGTACCCTATTGCTCTAGTGTCATTTATTAAAAGTACTATCCTTTCTCCATTGAATGTCTTTTGTCTTTTCATCAAAAATCAGTTGGCTCTACTTGTGTGGATCTATTTCTAGGTTCTCTATTCTGCTTCATTTCTGTGTCCATCCCTCCACCGAGACTGCAGTGTTGATTACTGCAGCTGTAGAGTTACGCACAGCATAATGATGTTTCAGACAACGGGCAGCATATACAGCAATGGTCCGATAAGATTATAATGGAGCTGAAAAATTCTTACTGCCTCATTCCATCATAGCCATTGTAACATCACAGTGCAACACATCACTCACATGTATGTGATGATGCTGGTATAAACAAACCTATTATTCTGCCAGTCATATAAAAGTATAAGATATACAATTATGTATAGTATATAATATGTGATAATAATAAAATGACTATGTTACTAGTTTATGTATTCACTATACTTCTTATTATTATTTTAGAGAATAATCTTTCTACTTATTATAAAAAGTTAAACATAAAATTGCCTCAGGAAAATCCTTTAGGAGGTATTGCCAAAGGCATTGCTATAAAGGTGGGACAAGATGTAGGAGTAGAAGACAGACATATTGATGACTCTGACCCTGTGTGTATTTTTGTCTACATACAGGCCTAGGCTAATGTATGTATTTTTGTCTTAGTTTTTAACAAAAAAGTTTAAAAAACAATTAAAAATAGAGGAGCGCTTACAGAAGGATACAAATAAAGAAAATATTTTTGTACAGCTATACAATTATTTATGTTTTAAGCTTTTTTGACTATTTTGTGTTCTTATAAGATAGTCAAAAAGTTTAAAAAATTAAAAATGTTACAAAGTACAATCATCACAGTAAGCTAACATTAATTTTACATTGAAGAAAGAAAAAAATGTTTATAAATTCAGTGTAACTGAAGTTATTCTTATATCTGAATTCATACTTATATGCAGTGTTTATAAGGTCCACAGTAGTATTTTACAGGGAGATGGTTCAGGCCTAGAAGTAGCATGTATTATATTGGCCTGTGTTCCGTTGGTCCGAAAATGATTTCTTGGCCACATATATAAGCACGTTGTGTTGGAAGTATGGTTTACTTCTGTGACCAGAAGAAAAGATCTATGTATTGACGGACAAGAAGCCAACTTCTGCCATACCAAGAATCCATGATACATTTCTCCACAATGGGCAGTGCTTAGCAATAGGGAATGGTGTTTCTGAATAAAGGCACTAGAATCAGAGAATTAGAGGACTTGCAGTATATGAAAAATAAGGAATGAATACATCTCAGCCCTGAACATAGCCAGGTGCAAAGAGAGCCTCACTCAGAAGTAAAAAAGCAAAGAAATATGATTTAAAAGAAGCTATCATTATGTATTAATCAAACTGTTACCAGATGACAGTTTAAGTTTAGCTTAAGTTATGCTTAAGCTAGGCTATAACTAAAAAGAAAAAAGATGCCATGAGAAATGCAAGCTTATCCTTCTTTCACATATATGGAAGGAGAGGATTATCTGGCTTGTGAAGGGAACTGCCTGCATTGGAGTTGCCAAAAGGATAGTAGTGCCAACTACAAAGCCTTCAAACATGAACATATCTCAGAAAATTCTTCTCTCTAATTATACTAGTTTCAAGAGTTTGAACCAGGATTAAATGATAAAATAAGCGACTACTAAAGACTATAGATCGCTAGAAACGTAAACAAAAGAAAATTGTGTATGAATATTGTCTTATGCAAATATTAGTATCTGTTTAATAATAAAAAGTATGCTAATCTATGATTCTTCATATCACATAATAAAAGTCAGTATTCTGCTATGAAGTATTTTTCATTTTAAAGTAAATCCATGGCTCACATATTGCTGTTTACATCATGGCTTCTTGTCAAGAAAAAAGAAAAAAAAAATATTTGGAAAGTAGTAAACCCTGTTGTGAGTGTTTGCCATGAAAATACAAGTGAAAAAAAGTGACATCAAATGTAATAATCCTTTTATTTCAAGAAGTCACAAAGATTTCCCTTTTCTTCTTGATCCTTCTCTTGGTCCTTTCTAGATTTTTGGTAGCCATGACAAAAGGAAATGGCACTGAATTGACTGAATTCTTTCTTCTGGGATTTGGTGCCCAACATGAGTTTTGGTATGTCCTCTTCATTGTATTTCTTCTGATCTATGTCACCTCCATGGTGAGTAATATTGGAATGATCCTACTCATCAAGACAGATTCCAGACTTCAAACACCCATGTACTTTTTTCTTCAACATTTGGCTTTTGTTGATATCTGTTACACCTCTGCTATCACACCCAAGATGCTCCAAGACTTCACAAAAGAAAACAAGTCAATATCACTCAGGGGATGTGCACTGCAGTTATTCGTTTATGCAACATTTGCAACCAGTGACTGTTACCTCCTGGCTGCTATGGCAGTGGACCGTTATGTAGCCATCTGTAAGCCACTTCGCTATCCCATAATCATGTCCCGAACGGTCTGCATCCAACTAGTAGCCGGATCATATGCCATGGGCTCATTAAATGCCTCTGTACACACATCTTTTACATTTTCACTGTCCTTCTGCAGGTCTACAAGCATTGATCACTTTTTCTGTGATGTTCCCCCAATTCTCGCCCTTTCCTGCTCCAACACTGACATCAACATCATGGTGCTTGTCATCTTTGTGGGATTTAACTTGGTGTTCACCGTGTTGGTTGTCATATTTTCCTACATATACATCATGGCTGCCATCCTGAGGATGTCTTCTACTGCAGGGAGGAGAAAGGCCTTCTCCACGTGTGCCTCCCACCTGACGGCCGTCACCATTTTCTATGGAACCCTCTCTTACATGTACTTACAGCCTCATTCTGATCATCCCCAGGAGAATATGAAAGTGGCCTCTATATTTTATGCCATTGTGATTCCCATGTTGAACCCTCTGATTTATAGTTTGAGAAATCAGGAGGTGAAAGAAGCTTTAAAAGTGGTAAGAAAAGCGTTCTTTTAGATCGGATCCAATTATTAAAATTCAGCACATCAAAGCATTATTCAGTACAGATGGTCTACCAAAATTTAATGTTTCTAAAATAGTCGACGTGTTAACATCACATACGAATGTTACTTCTTTCAGTAGGTAAGCTCTTAGATTATGAGAACTATCACAGAAACGTATCCTGGAACAGAAAAATGCTTCTTAGGACATACTGACACTACACTTGTTTTAAACTTTCTGACTTCACCATTCAGGCATAAATAGATTAAAGGAGAATGTTCCCTCTATAAGGATAGTTGGAGAGATGCGTAATTGCATGGGAAATGCTATAAGGTCCTTCTTTCTTTCCGATGATTAATTCCATCATTTTTTGACTTTGAATTATGGCACAATCCATCAGGAGAGACACATGTTCCCACCAATACAGAAAGGTAAAGATGAGGAAAATAACCTGCCCGACATTGGATTTCCAACTTCCAGCATATTCTCAGCACATTGTAGTTCCTCGATAAATATGTGTTGAAAAAATGAATGAACAAATGAAAGCAGAATGGAAAGACCAGAAATCTAGACAGAATACTCTTACAGGAGTTGGAAGTAGTAAGCTGCAGTCCAGCACAGCTGTTTCTGTGTTGAAAACGGAAGCAGGAGCTAGAGTTTTGCTGACATGATTGGGAGAAGCAACTGCCTGTAACAACATCAAAGTGTTATTGTAAATAAAAGCACAGAAGGAAACTTTAAAGTACATGCCTGTCCTTTTATATGCAGAAGGATAAAATGAAAGAGTAACAGGACACAAGTGATCCAATCCCTTGGATCTTTAGTGTCTTGACATTATTAGATTTTTCAATACACAGGTTATGGAATAATATACATGAAACCAGCTTGGTAACTTGAGCAAGCCATCAGGGTTCTCCAAGAATTGTTTATTTTTTATTATTAATGGTGTTATTTTCTTTTGGTTTTTGAAATCAAGGATTTGAGTGTGTGTGTGTGTGTGTGTGTGTGTGTGTGTGTGTGTGTGTGTTTATGTCACAGAAGACATATGGGCAGAGTATCTAATCTCATAGGGGAGCTATAGACACCACAGAGGGTATGGGCAGAGCTGTCATTTAACCCAGAGGAGTAATGGGAAATTTTGGCAGTGGATGCATGAGAGAAGTCTCCATCATTCCCCACCAGAAAAATTACACATTTCATCTATTACTCCTCAACGTCTAATACGATTTTTTGTGTAGATAACTGATTAGCATGGTAGGGAACAAGGTCAGACTACTGCCAAATATAGTGATGCTAAGGGGAAGAAGGTAATGGTTATCCACCAAAGGGCAAGGGTTTTGGAGGGAGAGTAAGCATGACAGTATCTCAGAAACATCCCAAGTGGAATGCAAAGCAGTGAAATGGTGCCAATCTGTAAGACAGGTTATGCTAAGGTAGTGGTCCCCATCATATCCCCAGGACCTACAAAACCCAAACAGACTATGGAAGATGGTAGACTACTACAATCTTAGCCAACTGGAAGCACCAATCTCAGCTGCTGTGCCAGATGTGCTATCATAACTAGAAATGACAGCCTCAAGTACCATGTACTGGCACTGCTTTGGAAGCAAGGTCAGAAGCAAGTACATTCTCTTTGCATAGATGTCGGCATACATTTCCGGTCTTCCCAGGGCTATATTACCTCTCCTCAGCCACAGGATAGCCTATGTGACCTTGGCCATCTGGAAATCTGTAGAACATCACTCTGGCCACTATAGCAATGACATCTTTGGACCAGAGGAAGAGGAAGTGGCAAGTATTCGGTGGCGATCTTTTACAAACAGGATAGGAACAGGAAGTGAATGCAATATTAATGAGGAAAAATTGTACCAAGTAACATGTATAATAAAGTTTATAGCAATATTGTATATAGTAAAAAAAAAAAAAAAAAAACTGGAAATAACTCAAACATCCAATGGCAGCTTGTGTTAGTCCAGATCTTCTAAGAAGCAGACACCAAGATGGAATTACACATGCAAACATTCTGTTAGGGGCATGCGTATGTAAAAGGAAACAGGAAGGGCAATGGGAAAGGCTAAGAAAGATGGACGTTTAACCCCAAGTCAAGAAGAGGAGAAAAAATTGGTTGGAAACACGTGAGACTGTTATGAAGTGTAAAGAAGATTCTACAAAGTTATTGAAAAATCCTTGAGTCGAAATGGGCTGACAAAGAAGTCCTGTGTCTCCCAGGAAGGGGTATGCCTTAAAAAATCCATGCTACACCAAATTATTGGCAAGGAGTAGCCCATGGAAAGTGTGGCAAAAATACCACAAGGGATTTCTAGTCAGTATCTGAGTTCCTTGGTCATTTACACTCCTTTGAATGAAGTCTACAAATCATTCACATGGCTGCCACACAGGTGAGGGTATAAATTAATTAGGTTTGACCACATAATGGAATATTAAACATCAGTGAAAATGAATGAGCTACTGATACCACAACACAACAGATAGGTTTTAGTACTGTTGAGTAAAATTAAACATCCCAGAATAATATAGAAGAGCATATTTCATTAAGTTCAGTAGTAGGAAAACTAGAAAACATATTGTTAGGCACATGTGTGCATATGTTTGTGTGTTAAATCTAGAAATCAAAAAATGAAAGTAATAATACACAAAACATCCACAACATTGTTACTTGCAGGTAAGGATGAGGGTAGGCAGGTGCATGGGACAGGAAAAGAGTACATTGATAGGTGTACATTATAGATAATTTTCAAGTCTTTGGACTGGATGGTGCATTTAATAAATGATTGTGTAATTAACATTATATAGGGTGATGCAGTGACCAATGGTGACAGTGTGTCATGAAACATGGTTGTGACTAATCCAGTTCTGTGCACACTAAGTGTTATGATATAAATTTAATTAAAATTTCAAAACATTAAAAAAGTTGAGTGGTTTCTAATAACCCATTCATTTTGCCCCCAAAAAGGTTATGACTTTACATTGAACATCATCAGGGTGATTGTACTCACCCACCACTTTTTTCACCCCCAGTGTCGGATCATTCAAGAGTCAATATGCAAAAGGGCAACTCTTTGGGAGACCAGCCCTATTTCAATACAAAGGGATAGTTGGCCCCTTAAGCGATTTCAATTAAATTCCATTTTAAGTGGTAGAGTATAAATTAGAAAGAGTGGACCTAACAGTTAACATATACTCAAATTTTATATCTAAACTCCATGAATCTTAATTTCTGAAATGCTCAAGAACACACAAAACTCAAAGATCCGTATGTCTTTCTTGAGTAAGTGTTGGCCATATCCTTTTTAATAAGGTGAAAAGGGGGCAATTTAAATTGGCCTCACACTAACCTCTTACAAGCACATGATAAAGAAATGAGAGACAAAACATCACACATTTTAAAGCAATATTTTAGGTGCTCAGAACAGGCTGTCTGATGGACTATCTCCTGCCCTAGGGAGCAGTGCTGGGACCTACATCATGGAGAATGACACAACAGATGAGCTGCATAAGATCATATAATGCTGCTCTCTGGAAGTAGGTGTGGATCAATCGTGTCTGCATTAGCTTTGCACTGCTATGGATCACTGCACGGCATGAATAAATCTGGATACAAGTTAGGGTATCTACCAACACTTCAGTGATGTTGGGGCAGCATTTCAGTGTCAAGAGAATGTCTGGATTGTACAGTGGAGTCCTTAAGATGTCCGATGGTGACAAGGGACATATCTAAGATGAATCACTCAGGTTAGAATGAACCTCCACGCCACTATAATCTTTTTTATATTCAACTCACCTAGTGTTCACTGGGGGGATATTCATGTTCTCGTATACATCCTGGCCACCATTCTGAGGCTGTCCTCTGATAGAAAGAAGGAAAAAGGCTTTCTCCCTGGGTCCCTTCCACCTACGGGGTGTCACCATTTCCTCTGGGCCACCTCTGACATGTCTTTACAGTCTGGCTCTAGGAACGTCCCAAGAATGGTAGAAAGCAGTCTCTGGATTTTGTGGCATTGTGACACCCAATTTAGGTCCTCTCATCAATGACAAGTCACCAAGTGTTTTCACATACATGTCTACCTCATTCCTCCCTTTGGCCTGCAAAATCTGTTATTAGCCCATCAATCTGAGTTTCTTGATTCAAACTCAGGTCTTTTGGCTTCACAACTACTTGTTCAGAAAAGGATACAAGTTAAAGTCATAGACAGAATAACACAGCATGAAAAATCCTTACATTTTAGCCACTTGCAACATTTCTTAGGTGTTCTCTGCTGGGAAGATCAGCTCTTGATCAGACTGTGATGTGCTAGTGACTATTGCATCTTTTGAGCTCACTTCAGCCTAGACTTTCAGATTCTCACCGGACAAGTCCCATCTCCACAGGCCTTTGAAGTAAAATGCCCCACTTGAAGCAACCAGCCTACACCAGTTGCAGAAAAAAAGTTCCAAAATGAATCTAAGGAAAATAAGGCAAGTTTGTGTTTTCATCATTAGTCATGCATTTTTTCAATATCTGGAGAAACCAGACTAGCAAAGAATGTAGATCAGTATACAGAAACTTTGCCTCTATATCTGGGCAATACAGTCTATGTTAAGGAAGACATTGATCTCATAAGGAGAAATTCTGAATAACTTCCTTAGTGACTGGATTTTAAAAGGTTCAATTTTTTTATTTTTTTGGGGGGAGTGGTTATTTAATTTTTTCATCATATTATGGGGGTATAAATGTTGTTAAGGTTACATATATTGCCCTTGCCTCCCCTCCCTCTTTGAGTCAGAGCTTCATGCGTGTCCAAATATTGCGCTACAGGATAGACAGTATATTTCTAAATTATTAGCAGAAGGCAAGAAATCTATGTAAATATATATCTAGGCTTACTTGTTTGCCACATAGAGCATAATGAACTCCATTGTAGCCTCAAAAATCATAGATATTAAAAACTTACCTAGAAAACAAAGGCATAGAAGTCTGAGTGACTCAGCAGTCATAAAAAGCATAAATTCTAAGG